AAGTAATAAGTAATAAACTAATAAGATTTATTACTTGTTTCCAGGTAAGAACTAACACGTTTTATTATTTATCACTTGGTAAAGAACAGTAAAGTGACACCCCTAGTATCTATATTAAATTCGTATTTAAAAACATCACAATCTACAAGACAATACCAGGACGATTGAGATGGATGACTAAATGTAATGAAAAGTTTACACATAATCTAATTAAAGAACATGAGAAGAAACTAAAAGAAAAACAACCATTACAGCAACAAGTAACAACATCAAGAACCATAAAGAAGATTAATTCACAAACTATGCCTGATACAACAAACATTATTAATATGTGTAAAGTACAATTAGGTCAACAACATCTAAAAGTACTATCAAAAGAATTAAAGTTTGTTCTAACACCAGGAGCAATTAGCACAGTAACAACAATTTTGAATTGCGAACAAGCGTTATATTCAACACCAACATTAATTAAAAATGCAACAACACCAGAAATATCACCATTTATTCAAAAATGGAAGAAACCTAAGAAATGCAATATGAATAAAGAAGAAATGAAAATGTTAAATGAAATCAAGTCAATTGAAGATATTGTTATTGTTCAAGTAGACAAAAGTGAAAAAATTGTGATAATGAACAAGATTGAAGAAAAAAATTGAATGATACAAATGTATATGAACAAGTGAAGCAAGATGCTGATATGATGCCAACAACAACAATTAAAAGAGAAATTAGTAAAAAAGTTACAAAATTATTGAAACAAAATAAAATTACAGAACATAATATTATTTAACATCAGTTGATGATATATAGCAAAAATTAGTGGTCAACCCAAATTACATAAGAAAAATGCAGAACTGAGAATTATTACTTGTTCAAAAAATACAATCAAATCACCATTATCTCAATTTAAGTTCAAATTTATTAAAGAATTAAGGACAACATTAAAGGGAGTGGTATGTAATACATCAAAGGACGTGGGCCGATAAGGCCACTTTGCGTCCCCCAACAAAATACAATGAATTATACATTTTTTCGGAATCAGCGTCGAACTCTAAACAACACTGTCGCTTCACTTTTTCGAAAAATTTTAGGGCAAGGGAGGACCAGGGGGAAGTCGGAAAATTTTTTTTTCAAAAAATTGGGGAAAAAGTTTTTCTGAACCAGAATTTTATCCTGATTACGAATCTGATGTTAAAAATTGTGAAATCCTAAGTTTTCATGTAGAAAAACGCCATCTATTGTACGCCTACAAAATTGACTTTCACAGATTAACGTGCGTCTGTAACCTTAGAGAAAAGTTTGTAGGCTTTGAAATACAATTATTTAGATTCACTGATGTGTCTGCCTTTGAAATTAGTGAATGTAGACACGATCCACTTTAATATAACGGACTGGTTCCGCAAAATTTCAAAAAACATAGGAAAAATCACTCGTTCATAAAAAGTCGACTCTCTCAGTTTTTTCCCTGGCGGATGATCCGCTTGCAAACACACTCTAGCATACTCAATTTTTCACGCTCTTTCCGCTAGTAGCAAAATAAAATAAAAAAAGATGGCAATTTTTAAAAAGCGCTTAATTTTTGCCGCTGATGTAAGAAAAACGGCACAAATGAACTTTTTAAAAATATTAAGCAATTAAACGAGTGTGTATCGCACAAAACTGTGTTCATCTTCATCGTCCTTATCGTCTTAATCATCTTCCTCGTTGTCTGAAGAATTTTCGAACTTTTCATTGGCAACTTTAAATAATTCAATGTATTTACTCGACGGTTGGTTCAGCTAGTGTTCCGGATCATGTCTGGCCAATGAGAGATACCATATTATACTAGCTATATGACTGGAGCAGCCTATTGTACGAGCCCATTAGGACATTTGCAGCACCAATCAGTCACAGAGTCCTTCGTATACCTTACTAAAATGTCATAATTTTTCCTATTACTATGTTTTGACTGAATGTTCACTTTTAAGAGATTTTTAGTATCGGGTGATACTCGAATTGCATATTCATCATCGTCACCGACGTGTTCCACGGCATAGCTTTTTGCCATTTTTACTTGAAAAACACCGTAAACTGGAGCTCTGGACTTTTTTTCTGAATATGTCTCGTTTTAGAGCACTAGAAAAAAAGACTACAAAATGTAATTCCGTCACGATACCTATTTTTCTCATCAAAAGCATTCTACTTAACCGATTCATTCGAAATTTTGATCATAGGCAAAGCGTTGTACCGCACATCTCTGATAAAAGTTTCGTCATCTTTTCGTTGAGCATTTGTGGAAAAACAGAGTCCAAAACTTGAAAAAATGTAATTCCGTCACGCGCGTCTAACGAGGGAACCTCGCGAGGTGATATTTCGAAAAAGCATGGTTGTTAGTAACGAATTATAACGATAATAAACAAACTACGAGTTCCAGTAGAGACATCACCATTTTTCTTAGCTGTTCTATAGGAAAAAGCGAAATTTAATTTATCCTAGGAGAAACTAAAATTTTATTCGTTTAATGAAAGTCTTCGTGGTAGTATGACTGAATAACAGCAATAGAACTCGCATTGTTTTTATTATCGTTATAATTCGTTACTAACAACCATGCTTTTTCTGGTATGTAACCAAGTGCTTGCGGTATCCAACCCTGTGATAAATCAGGAATAAGAGCATCTTTAGTAATGGAAAAATGTTTTATATTTTGAAGTGAAGAGTAAAGAAATACCGTCGATAGAAATACATCAATTTCCTTTTTGATGTTCTATCTCTGGTATAAATTTCACTCCGAATAAACATCGGCGTCCCCGGTTTTCAAGAATGTCAGAAAGAGAGGAGAGAGATCCCTCGATGCTTTAATTACTTTATTCTTGTATAAAATAGTGTGCTAATCAGACTTGTAGGTGAAAATTTCAAATCGATCGAGTGAAATATCGGTCACATAAGAGAATTACATTTTGAAATGAAAACAGATAATATCGCATAATAGCATAAAAACCATTATCGATGTAAATGTGAAATAAACACTAACAATCTTTGACGTAGGATAACAGTCCTCGGAGTATGCGACTGAGACATTAATCGGAGGGATTTGGGTATCTCATTAATCAGTGATTGACTGAAACAACCAAAAAACTTCTTTGTCCATTACAGTACTTACCCACTTAAGACAAGCATGTGAAGGAGTTAAATCAAATAGAAACAATAACAAAATATCAATCAACTTAATGTT